GCAATATGTTTTTGAATGGCCATATAATTGACATCTCATACATTGGATGATATTTTTGTTTTTTATAGGTGGTTCAATTTGTATATTGCAGTGTTGTAGTTTCTGAATTTTATAAATATCTTGGTTATTGTCTGATGGTTCAAGGTCAACAAAGAACATATTTATCGGCTCTTTTGTAATCCTATGTTTAGCATTAATGATGTTTCTTACCTTGTGACCCAGTTTTGTCAGTTCTTCTTTGATGTCTTCTGTTGCATGTGAATAGTGAAGGTATTTAATTACGACTCTATAGGCCCTTTCTTCCTTTGGTTGATATGTGTGATGAATAATGTTGTTCTCTCTCATATATCTGGAGAATTTTCTGTATATTTCTGGATCGCTACAAATTATTTTGACTGTATTATTTGCCATAGTTCTGGTTTCGTATTGTTCAGCTTCAGCTATTTCTGTAAATTTTTTCCTCATTTCTGGGAAGTCGCTTACATCGTAAACAAATATTGGTGGTGGTTTAGGTATTCTTGGCGCTGTTTCATTTTGATTGGTTTCATTTTCTTGGGTATCCGTTAGGGTATTATATTTGTTCGATAGTGTAATGGTATCATCTTCTTTGTCTGTTTCTACATTTGATCTGATTTTTCTGCGTTTTGTAGTTTTAACTACTTGCCATGAGTTATTTGTTGACACATTTGCACTTTCTGGTTCGTCATCGCTTGTTGATGACATTCTGTAGTATTGCTGGCTATTTCTGTTATTTATATTGCTGTTGTGTGCCGCGTTTTGTTGATTTATATATTGTTCTTGATTGGGCGGAAATATCATATTCGTCGAAGAATTAGTGGTTGGTTGATTTATTTGCATATTGTACATACCTGGTATTTGTGATGAGATTTGTGGATAACCCTGTATATTGTTGATTTGTGATTGACCCTGTGTGTTGTTTGGAATCTGCATTTGTGGGTAACAATTCATTTGGTTTGATGGATACTGGATTGGTAATGGCTGGCTGTTTACATTTTGTATTTGTTGGCTAACTATGTAGTTGTCGAATCCTGGTCCATTTCCCGTTGGAAACATTATAAATAAATTACTGTATTGTTTTTAAATTTAATTTGATGAGTTTATTATTTTTAAGTCTATTACTAATTGATTGCTTTTTAATCACTTCACATTTATCTGTTCAAATCGAGAAAACCGGTCGAATGTTGATAACAGAGAACCATTTAACGTCCGCTCGGTATGGAGTATCGATGTGAACTATGTAAACTCAAGTTAAACAAAATTCTACTTAAATCCTATCAAATATAAAAAAGTTGACATATAGAAGTTTGTATTATTATACTGAAGTTTCGTAAAAGTTCCAATGCGTTTTTCTCGAAACTACATTATTTTAAATATTCTACTGTCGCTTTGAGATGACGATATATAATAATAAAACCGATCGATATTAACACCGAAAAATACCAAAAAAGTAGTCGAAGAATTGGTGAAGGTGAAGGTTATAGAAAAATTTAATTTCAAAGTTCAAATTCGGTATAGGGAAAAAACATATTTTCTCAGCTTTCAATAATCTAATCTAATGTAACTCGAATACAAAAATCTAAAAAACGCATTACCAAATTCCATAGATGCTTTAGTGTTGTTATAAATAAATTAATTTGCCATTAAAAATACCACTGATGCTCCAAAAATCATACGTTGACATACACTAAGCTGAATTTTTCTGAGAATATTAATTTTGCAACCCCAAAAAATATGCATTTTAGTTCACTACTCCTATCCCTCTGCTTCCTCCTAAAACCCCTTATATCTGGAGTGTACAGTAGAAATACAATAAAGCCTTGATATAACGGACCTCTATTTAACGGACTTCGGATATAACGGACAAAAAATCCGGTCAAATGTAAAAAAATAAAAACGTACTGTTAATATTATACATGCTTAACCCCTCTGATACCACTGTATTTTACAAAGAATATTAATAAAATTTAGCATAAGAGGACACATTTCTAACAGTAATACTTTATATTTTTTTATTTTTGCTGAAAAATAAATAAATAAATAAAGCATGTGTAAGAGAAACATAATATTTTATCATACACATATAACGTGTCTACACACATGAGATAAATTTAGACATTTGTATGCAAGAGAAAGAAAGTTTCTATGATTGTATGGGTGTTTCAGGGATGGCGGTTTTTGACAAAACACCGGTTTTCGGTTATACCGGTTTTTTTTGCTTACGGTTTAACCTTGGTATACGGTTTTTTAATCCAATAGATTAGAAAGTTACATTTACAATGCACTTTAGTTTACGATACTACATTCGACTCGATATCAATATGATCAAAATTAGTACTATCGAAAGAAAATAATATTAATGTAAATACAACACAATTTTTTGTGTTTTGTGAGAAAAAAATTCCCCAACAAAAATTTCCCAGACTCTTTCAAATGGAATTTAAAGAAAATAATATCAACATAAATATTTTACTTAAAAATAAGTTGGATAATGCAATTCATCTTTTATTTTTACTACCATCAAAAAACAAATGTATCGTGTATTACTTTTAACTCATTTACGACTTCCGGTATGGGTATAAATCGTTTTGAAAACGTAGGGAAATCCTTGGAGATTCGTATTCGTAATCTGTAATTCGATATTCATAGTCGTTATTTTTGGTAATCAGAAAAAGCTATTCACCCACTTTCAATGTCAAGAGTCAAGTGTGAAAAATAGATGATGTATAAATACCAGATCAGTTCTTATGTAAAAATATGATTACAAATACTTTTTCAACGAAATACTATAATAAAATTTAATTGTTTCTGGCTGATGTGAGCTTGCACTTTCAGTTTGCTTCTGTATTTATAAAATAAAATAAAAATTGAATTTTAGTTTTGTTTGGAATAATTACTTGAGAATAATAATTATGATTGGGTGGGATCAAAAATAATACCTAACCTTATCCTAATCACTGAAAAAACCTAATAACCGGGTTTTACTTTAAAAATAAAAAACCAATTATAACCGGGACAAAAAAAAAAACAATCAATAAAACCGGTTATTTCGAAGTAAAAAAACCGGTTTTCGGTTAAAACCGGTAGGTTTTTCCCATCCCTAGTATTTACCACGCAGGCCAGGGATTAACGCAAGTCTACAGTAGTTTGACTTGTTTATTAAATAAATGGTCAATAAGTTAAAATTTTTGCAATTCTACTTTTTAAATATGAACAAACAGAAAAGAATCAATCTAACGATCAATTAAAATCTAAAGATTCTACAAAAGTTAAAATCTGAAACGTCTATATATCATGTGATCAATATGGCATAAAAAAGCTGAAGAACATGTAGCTAAGGAAGATGTTTTACAATGGCTAAAATTAGATGAAGGTTACCCCGGATATAACATCATGACTGAAAGTAAAATAGCAGTTGAAGTTATAAACCTAAAAATGAGGATATAAGTGAAGATAACGAATAAGACTACAAAGCAACAATGCCAAAAATGAAGTTATCAGAGGTAAGATCGCATCTCGACGATCTAATAACATTTATTGATTATTCATCAGATAACGAAGTTCAATTGTATTCTTCGCATTTTCGTCATTTTAGAAAATTGATTATAAAAAAACAGCAAATATCAAAAGTGAAAACGAAACTTGATTCCTTTTTCAAAACAGGATTACCGACAGCAAGCACGTCAATATCAACAGCAACGTCACTTCACGACGAATGTACCCGTCCCCCCAAGTAGTCCGTTATATTGAGGTTTTACTGTATTTTAAATAAAAAATGTAGCAAAACAAGATAATTTTGAATAAAAATGTTTATAAGCACTTTTTGTGTACATAATAATTTCATTTTTCTAAATTTTTAGACACATGTTGTGCAGCAAATCCAAAAAACAATTATTACTTAGGAGACAAAAAGGTACCGTATAAATTATTTATATTTGAAAATTTTTTTTATTCTTTCAGCTACGTGTTTTTTCAAAGATAAAAATGAGGTTTATTTTACGTAATAATTTTTGTCTTCTGGTCGTATTACTAAAGCCCCTCTCAAAATGTGTCTGTATGTTTTTGAAGGAAAGCGCTAAGCCCATAAGAAATACGCACCAGACGTGTCCAAAGAATTCATGCGGCATGAACTAAATATTACCGCATGAGCATTACCACATAGTATATTTTCATTTCCTCTACTATTTCTCATCAAGTCTCTGAGGAGCTCAACCTCTTCAATTTTAAATTAATCACATAGGTTATAACTCTGATTTCTTCAGCCTGTAGATTTTCAATTTACCAAACTTGTTTTTATTAATTCGTCACCATACTAACAGTCTTAAATAGTCATTTAAATACAAGGTCTTATATTAGCTTCAAATATTTACTATTAAAAATTTTTACCTGTCCTAGATGGGATAAACATAAAAGGATAATTTTCATATATATATATATATATATATATATATATATATATATATATATATATATATATATATAATATAAGCTAATCTAACATAAAATACACTTCTAGACCATATTCCATACGACAAAAAGCAACATAGGTTGCCTAATACACAGGCCATCCTCTTAAACATGACTTTAACACCATTGGTGATTTCACATCGATTATAACCCAAATTTTAAATCCCAACACCTATATTGCTCTTATTATTTTTTAAAATCATCAAAAATAATTTTTGAATCTTTTGGCTGTAGTAATACTAGGTATAACTAATATAGTTCTATGTTACATTGACATTTTGTTTATGACACCTTTCATAGGTATATTGTAAATCATTCAGGATTACCGACAGCAAGCAAGTCAATATCAACAGCAACGTCACTTCACGACGAATGTACCCGTCCCCCAAGTAGTCCGTTATATTGAGGTTTTACTGTATTTTAAATAAAAAATAAAGCAAAACAAGATAATTTTGAATAAAAATGTTTAAAGCACTTTTTGTGTACATAATAATTTCATTTTTTTAAATTTTTAGACACATGTTGTGCAGCAAATCCAAAAAACAATTATTACTTAGGAGACAAAAAGGTACAGTCTAAATTATTTATATATCGAAATTTTTTTATTCTTTCAGCTTTGTGTTTTTTCAAAGATAAAAATGTGGTATATTTTACGTAATTATTTTGGTCTTCTGGTCTTATTACTAAAGCCCCTCTCAAAATGTGTCTGTATATTTTCGAAGGAAATCACTAAGCCCATAAGAAATACGCACCAGACGTGTCCAAAGAATTCCTGCGGCGTGAACTGAATATTACCGCATTAACATTACCACATAGTATATGTGTATATTGTTAATAGAAAGCTAGTTGTATTTACTTATTAGCTATAAAATTTTAGACGAACAGTCACAACAATCTAAAAATACCCTGAAATTCTGTAAACTATCTAAACAATTTTTATTGTGTTATATGTGGTGAACTAGGATAAAACTGTCCCTACAGAGCAATTTACGATGCTTTTAGAACATACTTGTAAGAAGGCAGATTTGAACAAGAATGATGTTAACATCAATTGGGAGAAGCTTCTACTTTCCATGGAGCCGTCTTCTTTCAAAGATTGGCAATTCAAATGGCATTTGTGGCTTTAAAAACTGTTGCGTGAAAGATTTCTGCGGATGAGCTGTCGAAACAAACTTCTCAGGTCTTTTAGCCATAAGTTCTGGCGTCTTCCTACTGATCTTTAGTCCTGTACTTTTCTTTGCAGTATAACTTGAGAGGCAAAAAATTTAAATTACTTTAACACATGATCCAAGTACTGCATTTTTCTCTCTTTGATTATTCTTAGTAATTATTTTTGTTTACACATTCGACAAAGTATATCAACATTAGAAACTCTTTATAACCATGGAATTCTCAACATTCGTCTGTATATATACATCTCAAAGCATCTATTCATTTTTCTATTTCAGATTCCACTGTCCAACATAAGTTGCAGACTAAGTTCTGATCTTGTAAAAAATGTTTTCATGCTCATAAATGTTTTCCTTGTTTGTTCGATTCTTGATAGTATTTTTTTTTTGGATTACACTGACTATTGATATTTTCTCCTAAATATTTTATGGAATTTCCCTGTTCTATCATTTGACCCTTGGCATACACATGTACGTTTATTGGAGTCTTTAAAAATACTAAAGTTTTAGTTTTGGAAACATTTAGATGTAAACCTAACATTTAGAACAGTATCATCGGCATACCTGATGTTGATTATGCTGATTCCGTTTATCTTGGGCCTGGTCTAATGCTGCTCTGAATATAGACTTTAATTACAAATTAAACAGTAGCGGTGATAAGACGCAACCCTGTCTTACTCCTCATCGGATTTGTAACTCTTCGGACGTTGTGTGCTCTATTTCAATTGTTGCCGTTTGGTGCCAGTATAGTTCCAGGTGGCCAGTAGCCAGTGTAAATAATGTGAAGATAATTCGCAAGTCTTATTCGTCAAATCCAGTGGTTCTCAGAATTTTGATCATCTTTTGATGGTTATCGAAAATGCGTTTCGATAGTCAATAAAACATGCATATACATCGACATTCATGTCTCTGCATTGTTGCGTTACCACATATAAAGCAAGAAGAGCCTCTCGTGTTCCTGATCCGTTTCGAAATCCGAATTGAGTGTCACTAATCTGGAACTCACACTTCTTGTAAATTCGTGTATGGATAATTCTGAGAAAAGTTTTAAGGACATGAGATATCAAGCTTAATATTCGATACTCATCGCATTGTGAGGAATTCGATCTTTTTGGTAATGCTACGAATGTTGATTTTAGCCAGTTTGTTGGTATTTTAGCTGTATCATATATCTTATTGAATAGTGATATTATTAAGTCTAGGCTTTTACTTTCGTTATCTGCAATTAGTTTTAGTATTTCGACATTGATATTGTCTGGACCGGGGGCTTTTCCATCTTTCTGAGACTTAACTGTGTAAATCACTTCTTTTTTTGGTTATTTTTGGGTCTTTTTCAGTTATTCGATTATCTGTGGATGGTTTAGAACAAGGTCTATCGTCGTCAAAAAGAGAGAAGCTTAGTAATTTAAAAGAAAATTCGCAGATTGCATCGTCCTTATAGCCGATCGTATGGATGACAAAATAATATTGTTGGAAAAAATATATCATGCTTTTTTGGAGATCAGACTAAAGATTAATATACACAAGACGCAAGCAATGACTAATCTGGTGCTAATTCAAAATATTTATATATTGCAGACATAAGCTGGAAGCAGAGCTTGGGCAGCGTTTGATAAATTAAACTATGTATTTAAATCTGATCTTCACATATGCCCGAAAAGAAAAATCTTTGACCAATATATCTTACCTGCACTCAGTTATCGACATAAACACTCACAAAAAAGATAGTGAATAAAATTTGCATGACTACGAAGGCTATGGAGCGTTAAGTGTTTGGTGTCTGAACCTCTAACAAAGAAATACGTCGTAAAACAAAATCAATTCTCTGCGGCTTGGGCTATGATGGATTTTTCAATTTCCATATTATTAGTTTCAATTCAATATAGACCTCAGTATCAATATAGATGAAAAAAGATTAAATCACCTAACGTTTGCAGATGATGTTGTACTAATCGCAGATATCTTACATGATGCAGTTTATATGATGCATTCGCTTAAAAGTCTGTGAGAAAGAGCAGGATTAAACATAAACTTTGAGAAAACTAAACTTATAACAAATCTCATAATGAGTGGAAATATAACTATTGACAATAATACCATACAACAAATAGACACTTACAAATATCTGGGACACGAAATCAAAATAAGCAGAGACAATCAAATACATAAAATACAGAGGCGAATAGGCCTAACATAGGCAGCATTTGGCAAATTAAGCCATATTCTAAAAAATTCAATTCCCATGTGTGTCAAGCGAAAGGTTTATAATTATTGTGTGTTGCCTGTACAAACTTATGGAGCAGAGACTTTAATACTTACGCAAAAATCTACGAATAAACTCAACGTTACTGAACGTTGTTACACAACGAGCCATGGAACGTGCAATGCTGAACGTGAGCCTTCGAGACCACATAACAAACCAACAAATCAAGCAAAGATCAGGAGTTCAAGACGTCATCGAAAGAACCATGACGCTTAAGTGGAACTGGACAGGGCACTTAGCCAGAACACAAGATGGACGGTGGACAAGACGTATTATATAATGGAGGCCCAGAAACTATAAAAGAAGCCGAGGACGACCACCGACTAGATGGACCAATGATATAAAACATGTAGCGGGAAACTGGCTACAAGCGGCCCAGTGTAGAGAACACCGGGAAGAACTGGGGGAGGCCTATGTCCAGCAGTGGACGCGATTGGCTGATATATGATGATGAAGACCTTAGTTGCAAAAACAATGTTTTTGTTATTTATTTTTATAAAGTTTTAGTAAAAAATAATGTAATTAATATATAAATAAACATTTTTAATACAAGCCAAATAAAAACTATCTTTTTATACACACAATTTTTGTTTTTAGAATGTGTCTTAATTAGTTTATATTATTATTTTTAGGTAAATTGGGCTAACGCTATTATAGCATGTCAAGTTGTTGGAATGTCATTAGTAAGTATCCAGAGTCAAGTTAAGCAAGATGAAGTCAGTAAGTTTTTGCAATCGACAGGTAAGAAAATTAGTAAGAATATTTCTCTACACAAATATGATTTAATTGAATTACATTATTTAACAAAAACATAATTATCTTATTTATTTTTGATTTTTTTTGTTGTTACTAGAGATAGAACCGTACAACTTTTGTAGAAAATATTATCTTCTTCTCGACCTTCTTCTTGACCAGCTTAAAAACTTTTGTATGAGTCTTTGCCACATTCAGTAGAGCCTGTCTTCTTCCATGATCTTGCTCTTTCATTTCCCATTGTTGTACCACAATCCTAGATAAATTGTCTTTAATATAATGCTTTCATCTTTTTTTGGGACGGTCTACTGAACTTCTTTCTTCTAATCTTTTAAAATATACTGTTAGCACTCTGTCGTCCTCTGATCTTAATACATGACCTGACCATCTTATCCGGTTAGCTTTTATTTGTTTGACGATGCTTTCAATACCATACATAGTCACCAATTCAGCATTGTTTCGCTTTCTTCACTATGCTGTTAATTCATGAGTTTGCGTGCCAAACTTTGAGTGACAAATATTATTCTGAAAACTTTCTATTCAAAAACCAGCAGCTTATTTATTTCCTGCTAATGTTGAGTCCATGTAGTACTTCCATAATGTAATAAATGGACGAATAATTGACAGTCTTAATTTAGATTATCATTTTAGGAGTTTCGATCTTAATAATGATGATAGGGATTATAATGCTTAATTTCCTGCAGCTATGCTTCCTGAGACCTCTTTTTTTATGTGGTTGTCATCTGTGATTACTGTTTCCAGATATTTAGAATATTTTACTATTCAAAATTATGGCCAAGCAGAGAAAACCCAATTTATGACAACATCTAAATACCCACTACGATGTAAAATCGAAAAAAAATTAATCAAAAATAACATAGCAGAAAGCAAGGTTTAGATATTTGGGAATAGATATAACTAGTTACATATATGTCGAAGAAGAAGTACGACAACAAAGCTTAAAAGTGAGTTAAGCGGCGGGATCTCTTAATGACACAATCTGGAAGAACAATTATCTCAGACAAGACATAAAAACAAGAACCTATAAAGCAGCAATTAAACCTATATTAACATAAACGGCCGAGACAAGACCTGACACATCTAAAACGAGACGACTACTAGATATAACAGAGATGAAAATACTTTGACGAATATCAGGGAAAACTCGGTTGAAAAGGGAGAAAAGAAATGCGAAAATATAAGAAGAGCATGCAATATAGAAGACATAAATGGATGGGTGACAAAACGGAAACAGAAGTGGAACATTAGCAGAATGGCACAGTATAGGATAGGACGAAGAAGTATTGTCAGACCAAGAAAAAGATGGTGCGATAACATAGTCAATTTAGGAGGCTAATGTTGAAGAAGAAACAGGCTTTAAAGCCTATATACAAGAAAGAAGAAGAAGAAGAAGTTGTGGTCATTAATGGTTATATTCTGCCTAACTCTTGGACTTCAATTTTTGGTTAATGTGTAGAAAATATTAAGAAAATATTAAATTCATACAAAAAATAACTTGATCTCAAATCATATAGAAACAAAAAAAAGTAAGAAAGAAAATACCTGGATACATTGTTTGCTTTATAATTATTATATTCTTATAATTATTTTCCATGAATTACTTATTACTTAATCTACGTGACATACTTCCAACGAAACTCTCTACTACACAAGCACTACAGTGTTATTCTTTTTATGGTTTTGCCGATTTTGTAATGATGATAGCCTTCTAATTTTAATCGGCAAATATTTATCATGTGCCTGGTTTTTTTAAGTAATGAGTAATTCATTTAGAGTTTTTTTTCCAAAAGGAAAAACAACGAAAAATATGAAATTCATTTAAAAATTTTTATTATCATATAAAAGAACCATTCTTTACAACTAATTGTTAAAGATAATTTCTTTCAAATGTTGGCCGTATACTTACCGCTATATGTATGACCGTAATGTTGCGGTAATATGGTCTATTCTGAAGTTCAGATTCTCGATGACGCGTTCAAGCATTTCGATTGGTATGTGACCAACGAGTAATATTGGCCTTCAATGCTTCAATCTTACCCAATTTATTTATGTAGACTTAATACTTTATGTAACTCAAAAGACAAAAGTCCAAAGGTGTGATGTCCTAGCATCTAGGCGGCCAATTGTCTGGTCCGAAGAGTGAAATACATTTTTCACCGAATCGTTCTCCATCTTCCGGCATTTTGATTCCATCTTCAGTGTCACTTAAGGCTCTATCGAAAATAATTTCAAAGTAAAGATAAAAAGGAGGGGTGACAGTATATAACCCTGTTGTAGACATATGACATATGATGTAGATTCCAGTGCTACTCTCACAGATGCCACTTGATTCATATAAAAGTTCTTTATGATTTTTAAGTTATTCTCATCTATCAAACGTTCCTGGAGCAATATCACTAATTATAAATGATTAACACAATCGAATGCTTTCTGGTAATCTATAAAGCATAGGACGACATATTTTTGCTGATTTTTGCATTTCTGAAGTAGGACAGTTAATCTATAAAGTGCTTCTCTTGTGCCAAATCCTTGTCTTGTGTCTGAAACAGAACTGTGTGGGACTAATGTCTCTTTCACATCTGTTGTAAATTCTCAAGTGAATTATCTTTATAAAAAGTTTTAGGACCTGGCTCAATAAGCTGATCATTCGAAATTGGTCGCAACTATTAGCGTTTGGCTTTTCTGGGATTGGTATAAAGGTCGATTGAAGCCAGTGGTATTTGACCGGACCCATAAATGTCATTAAAAAAATCTACCAAGGTGTCTAAATTATCTTCACTCAACATTGCTAGAACCTTTATGTATATGTCGTCTGGGCCTGGTGCTTTTCCTCATTTGATTTGTTTGATTGCCCTTACAACTTCTGACTTCAATATTTTGAGGAAGGGTTCATTTTTATATATACTTTCAGAGTTCCTTCTAGTTGTGTCTGAGTATAGTTGCTGTGTGTAGTTTCTCCAATGTTGAAGTAGATTTTTGAGATCAGTGAATAATTTATTGTCCTACACAATACTGTTAAAACTGCCAGGTTTTGTATGACCTGTCACTTCTTTAATGAGTTTATGTACGTTAAAGTGGTCATGTTTTTCTTCCACTTCCTCCAGTTCTGCTTACTTGTCCAGCAGCCACTGTTCTTTAGGTTTGCGACACTCTTGACTCTCTTGACACTCTGACACTCTTTCATTAAAGATTATTTATTTTATTGGACAGTTTTATCAGTCTTCTTCTTCTTGTGGTGCCTATCTGTTACGGATGTTGGCAACTACCATGGCAATTCTAACTTTATTGAACGCAGCTCGAAATAGTCCTGAAGTGGTCAAGAAAAACCATTTTCGTAAATTCTGGAGCCGAGCCAAGATATTCTTCTTCTTCCTGGTCCCCTCTTTCCGTATACCTTTCCCTGTAGTACCTATATTGTATGTATTTTATCAGTATGTTAAATTATTCTAGATAGTAGCATTTTTTCTACATTTTGTATTGTATTTTAGGAGTGAATTACCTAGGATTCGACAACGGCATATGGACTTCAGGAAATAGACTTCAGGACAAAGTTCATTGGCTTTGGTTAGCTCAAGAACCTGTTGTGTACACCAAGTGGGATACTCTCTATAATGAACCAAACAATGCTACTGGGGACGAAGAATGCATAAGCATAATTAATAACGGAACAACTACTGATTGGAATGACATCGCTTGTAACCGCACGTTTTATCCTTTATGCGAGAAACAGATTTGTTGTTCTAGTTGCCAATCTTGTTCTTAATTTTATTATTTATTTAAATGATTTTACAATAATATAAATTACTTTTTGGTATTTATGTAATAAAATGGTTTTAACATTATAATAAAAACAATACTCTATATTGTATTTATTAATGCTCTATGCTCTATACAATGCTCTATATTGTATGTATTTTTGATTAAAAATTTAAAAAATATAAAAAGAGACACAGATTAATGTATTTCTCTCTCAGTTTTTTTTTCACACCCCTCTTTTATCAGTGTATTTTAGGCTAATAATATTTATTACAAGCAAATACAGCCAAAGCTGACAGCTAACAGGACTTTTTATTGAGTTCAAATACACAATTCACTACATAAAATATATAAAATAAATATATAAGTAAATGTGTTAAAAGTTCTTCTCTTAGGTAAACTGCGAAGTAGCAGTTCACAAGTAGTTATCGAGTGAGATCTTCTAGCCCGTTTTTCTAAAGTCTTGTTTCGTCTCTCTGATGGGTGGATGATACTTCACATAGTAATTGCCTTTTAAAAAAATTTTATTAAAAATCCTTTATAAAAGGTATATAATTTAAAAACCCAATCGGGCTATATCACAAAACGTTTTCGGAATCCATATTCCATCATCAGTGTCCTAAAAAGTATATAACCACTTAATTAAAAAGAACTTGAAATTTAAATTTTGACCAAGGTTAATGCAAAATGTGGTTAATACTTACTAGGTATACATGTATCTAGCCACTAAATATGTGGGTAAAAACCCGTTAAAAATTGTTTGTTTAAATTTAGTTTACATTATGTGTTATTAATTATTATGATGTTAAAGTTACCAGTAGATTTGGTAACATGGCGACATATGACTCCACGTGAAGTTGCTAGTCCTGAGACGGTGTGTCTACGAGGACTTGACAAAGGCAACTGATTAAAATGACAATCTTGACAAGTTAGAACGGAAGTCGGAACAAAGCAGTCAGTGTAACGTTATGTGTCTACTTAAGACAGAAGCCAAAGCTATTTAAAAATTGTAAAAGTTAAAATAAAAAATAAAATAATGTAACGGTATAAACCATCAATGTTGTTGTTTTAAATTATGTATGTGGAATAAATTGTGGTGAGAAAATTATGTGGGTATTGTTAGGCAACCAACTATACATGTGTCTAGGAGTGTTATGAATTAGAGATCCTTTATGTTTCTTCAACATTTGGTACCTGGAAAATGGAAACTAGACATATGTGGGAAGTTGGATTCTTGAAAGTTTATTGTTATGGGTGAAATAGAAATGAATATATTTTATATTTGAAAGTGGTATTGAGTGAATAAAATAAAAACTTTTGTAATACAATGTTCACGTAATATTTAACTTGTGACTTAATTATCGAAGGCCCTGTATGTCAAAAAACAACATTTGGTACCTGGTAAATGTAAAACTTTTTTAAGTTACGACTTCATGAACATAAATAACTGATTAAATGTTAACGGACGAAGTAGTTTAGTTGTTTTTGTGTGTTAACAATTATATGAGATGAACAAAAATTGATGGTTGTGTCGTGTTTTTGTAATATCTTGATCACATAGTACTCAACTTATAACTTAAGAAGAAAAGGCCCTATCTGCTATAAAGCAACACTAGGTACATAAGAAATATAAAAGGATAAGTTAAGTTCATGAGTTTAATGGACTATTGGTATATATTGACAAGAACTGTGAAAATGAAATGGTCGTAGGTGTCTTTGTTAAATTTAAGTAAAAAAGGAGAAAATTATGGTGTTCTTTTTTTTAAATTGTGAGATGAGGAAATACTACAGAAGGCTGAGATCTCCAGAGATCCGAAACCAAACCCTGAGGGATTTGTGTGGATAAGTAAAATAAGAACTGAATAGTGTAGGAGAGGAATGACGAATAATCTACTCTGAATTTAGAGGTGACGAAAAGAAGCATGTAAAACATTAGGTATAGGGGTCAAACTTGAGGTTTAAGTTAAATAGAAAGAAGTGGGGAAAAATAAAGAGTATGATGTATTGAAAGAAAGGTTTTGGAGTGAACTAAGGAAGATAAGTATTTGACGAACGAATAATGGTAAGTATAGATTTTTGTTGTAGAAGTAAATTAAGGATGTGGGTTATGAGAATAGATATTAATCGTTACAGTACTAGATGATAAATGGAATCCAGATATACAAATAAAAACACAAATAGAACAAGCTAGGAAAATGTACAATAAATGGAAGCAAATTATCTATAACCAAAAACTAAGGTTACACATTCGAATAAGAGCTATTACATGCTACGTTTGGTCAATACTTATGTACAAAGTTGAAGCTTGGACAATAAAATTAAATTCCGTCAGACGGTTAGAAGCCTTCAAAATGTGGCTTCATCTTAGAATACTCAATAGTATGTAGAAGAAGTAATAAACATCATGAATAGAGAGTTAGAACTTAGAAGTTAGAAAAAAAAACTAGTTCACATAATGAGAAATGACAAATAATATAACCGGCTACAAACAATAATTGAAAGGAAGATAGGGGAATTGAGGTTTTAAGAGAGTCGGCTATAACGATAAGACTAACAAAGAGAATTGAAATACTATTATAAAATAATAGCTCAGTCTCTCAAGGGTAAATCCGTCTTATCTTAAAATATGAATTAAACAATAAACACGTAGCTGCTAACAAATAAAACAATATTGTTCTGAAGCTATTTTCTTGTGGCATTGTAAATTAATTACTATTAAACTGGGAATAAACCACAATTAAAGATAAAAATACGTTTATTGACGTTTCAATTTCCACTTCAGAAATCGTTCTCAAAATACAAACGATATTTTGTATTTTGAGAACGATTTCCGAAGTGGAAATTGAAACGTCAATAAACGTATTTTTATCTTTAATTGTGGTTTATTCCCAGTTTAATAGTAATTAAATAAAACAATAATTTAACAAATGTTTATTTAAAATAATATTAAAGTAGCAAAAACAACCGTGCCTAAAGCTTTACAGCATACAAATTTGGACCTAAAACTTATAGCATAGATGGGCTGCTTGCTTCTAATTATATGTTGACTCTAGATTTGTGGTTAGGTCCTGTTGCCGCCTCCAGAGCATGTCTTACATACAGCTGCAGTTGATTATTCCCATAAATTCCATAATATTCTATAAAACATTCCATAGAATTTTAATAAATTATCCAATAAACCCAAAAAATTCTCTAATAAAATTTTCCAATAAAGCCAATAAACTAGAATAATTAACAGCCTGTATTAGAGAAACATCAAAGGGGGTTAACTTCCTTGCTAATGATTTTACCAAAATTAGAATTTAACAAATAGCAGATGGTAATGATAATATGAAATATAATAACTATTAAATTTAGTTAAATTTTATTAGATTCCTATATACATATAATTGAAAAGGTGGTTTCGAAAAAAGTAAGGTTATGAATATTAAAAATGCTGTCATAATTATAGAATATAGATTAAAATGAAAGTACTCACCCCAAGAGAATTTTGTAGACAATAAAATTAACCTTATAATGTAAACCTTTTTTTAAAAATTTTAATTACAGACAAAAAAAAACAATATCCCAACACGATCAGAAAAGGTAATTGACAGTGACAGAAAATAAAAAGAGAATGCAATAAATTTAAGCACAAATGACATAGAACATATGCCTATTATGGAATTGGCTCTGCTGTCAACATAGAACAGAATATTTACTAGCGGACAGAAAGAGATAGGGCGAATATTTATTCTGCAGGACAGAAAAAGAGAGAAAAGAAAAAGAGAGGGCGCCAACTAATTTTTGAAGAAAAAATAGTAAAAAAGAAATTGAAAGTATAGAAATTAATAAATGAATAAAGAAAGTACAATAAAATAATTATTTATATATAAATTAATAAAGATGTGATGTCTATAACGTTACATGCCATGTTATGGCTTCGCAATATCAGAACTTGGACGGGTATGAACGTTTAACCATTACTAAGAGTGGCGCAGAATAGAGAACATTTTGATGTAGTGATCAAATTTAATTTTTTAATTATTTAATAATTAACGTAGGTTATCTATGTGCTGCCCCTACCTCTAACATATTTTCGGTCGCTATTTATACTTTTTATAAATTTTAATACAAAAATACCATAACATATGTATACAAACAAAACAATGATTATAGATAACAATGTCTCTAGATACTAAGTGAATATTTTACTAGCAATAATAAAATAATTTTACATTATTTAACTTTGTCCATTTGAATCTATTAACATGTATGAAAATAACCGCTCTATCGAAACTTTATACAAATAAATCAATCAAGAAAATGAAAAGTAGACATATAACTTTTCCGTGCTTGTTTATTAGAATTTCGGTAGAAAAAATGATCTTTTTTTAAATATCCAATATTCACCATTTTAAAATTAAATTTAAAATAAAAAAAATATGTATTACTATGTTTTGTTTTTAAACCAGGAGGAGTAAACTAAACAGTTTCACAGCAAAGAAAGTCGCTAGAAAAATCAGCAAATATATTATATCTTCTTTTTGGGTTGTTCATGACGGCCTTCGACGGTAATCCATAAATATTATAGCATTATAAAATTATTAAAGGTAAAAAAAATAAAAGGTAAATTTGAATCAATACTCCTGGTTTAAGAAAAAGCCATAGTAGGTACATACAACATAAAAGCAAAAAAAACTCAGTACAAAAAAATCACAAACTCACCAAACCATCTAAAAGATGATGTACAAAAAATATATATATTTTTTACTATGTGGGACATAGGAAATTATACATAAAAGGAATAAAAATTATACATAAAATAATATATATAAAAAGTGTGAAGAACACATGACAAACACACAATTCGGCTTCAGGGATGCTTTGGGTACTCGAGAGGTATTTTTTGCAATAGAAGTTCTCTTTCAAAGATGTAGAAACGTGAATTGTGATGAGTGTTTGGTTGATTACCAGAAAGCGTTTGATAGAATAAAACATGACGAACTGATGAAAATATTAAATTCAAGTGGTCTAGAGAGCAGAGATCGCAGTATAATAAACAATATCTATTACGAACAAACTGCAGCTGTTAGAATTGGGGAACAGTTAACAGAGGACATAAAGATAAAAAGACGTGTGTAACAGGGATGTATATTGTCCCCGTTATTGTTCAATACATATTCAGCACACCTTATGAACCTAGCGCTAACGGACATAGACGATTGAATACTTATAAACGGAGAACGATTGAACAACATAAGATACGCTGATGGTACTGTCATTTTTGCAGACAGCCTTGAATGTCTGCAGACACTTGTCTCCAGGGTGGCAGAAGTAAGTAGCAGGTTTGGCTTGATTTTAACATCAAAATAACCAAATACGTGGTTATAAGCAAAAATAGCATACCACCTGGTCAATTACTAGTTAACCAATAACCTATAATTCAAATCACCGACTTTTGTTATGTTGGTGCAAACTTAAATGAACACTGGGACCAATCAACGAAAATTAAGATAATGATGGAGAAGGCAAGATCAGATTTCGGCAAAATGAAAAAATTCTTTAGCAGCCACGATATAAAATTGGAAATAAAAGTTCGTTTACTCGTTCGATAGACAGAATTACTAACGAAGAAGTACTACATACAATGGGTAAAGAGCGCGAACTAGTCCTAACCATAAAACGTCGCAAACTGAACTTTTCTTTGAGTGTTTTCTTTATTTCTGCCTGTACTATTGGATCTTTAAATTTTTTGAGGCTAGGCTTCATCTTCTCTCTGTATTTGATTTTCTTTAGTTTAATTAAAATTTTACCTACAACAATATTGTGGTCGGAACCGATGTCCGCCACGGGATATGTCTTAACTCCCCTGATTCCATTTCTATAACGTTTGTCAATTCATATAATAATCAATCTGGTTTTTAATTATGCGGTTTTGATTATCGCCAGGTGCTTTTCATGTATATAATATTCTTTTTGGTTGTTTAAACATAAAATAATGCATTTATTTTACCTTGAGATATTAATTTGATCCCCTTTTATGGTCCAAGTGTCCATATCCTTTGGTCCATATCATCAAAAGACCAAGAAATAAGTAACTTTGACTAATTTTAAAACAATGATTAAATTGAACGAAAGAAACAGATAGAGCTAAAGAAACTCTTCTGGTTGAAAATTTTGCGATAGTAAATATGTTTAACAGTAGACTAATTACATGTAACACAAGATCGAGATCTTCTTCTTCTTCTTCTACTTTTTGTAGATCTTTCGATCTGTTTAATTCTGAAGCTGCCTCTAGTTAATTTCTTGGGAGGTAGATTGCCAACTATCCCTCCATCTTTTAGGTGGTCTTCCGGGGCGTCTTGAACCGGGCAGATTGTTTTCTAGGGCAATTTTTGGGAGTCTATTCTCATCCATTCGTCTTACATGGTTGTACCACATCCTCTTGCGCTGCCTTCCCCATCTTACAATATCTTGAATTTTGCACTGCTCTCTAATGTTTGTATTTCTCGCTCTGTCTCTTCTTGTTTTCCCCATTATTGTTCTTAGGGTTTTCATTTCGGCAACCCTTAGCATCTGTTTCGTTTTGTTAGTATCTTCGCGCACTTCTATGCCATATGTCATGATCGGTCGTATGCAAGTCTTATAGATTCTAATTTTATCATCTGTGCGCATATACGGATTTGACCAGACTATCTCCCGCAGACATCCTGACAGTGCAGATGCTTTGTTGATCTGACTCCTCAGGTCCTTTACTGGGTCGTGGGTGCTTGATATATCTATGCCCAGATATCTGAATTGCATCACCTGTTCTATGGGGTTGTCCTCAATCACTAACTTACATCTGAGCGGATCTTTTGCTATTGTCATACATTTAGTTTTGTTGGTAGAGATGTTCATATTTAGTAGTCGGCTTGTTTGAAAGAACTAAAAGAGCTGCCTTTGGAGATCATCTTCTGATTCGGCAATAATTGCTGCATCGTCTGCCTAACACACCATACCAATTCTTTTGTTGCCCATTCTATATCCGAGATTAAGAGATGTTACTTTGTTGATAATTTTGCCCATGAGAAGATTAAACAAGAAGAGGCTTAAACTGTCGCCTTGTCTAATTCCTCCCGGTGTTAAAATATTTTCAGTGAATTCGTCTCCTGCTCTAACTTTGGTTACGTTGTTGTTATTTAGTTTATGGAGTATCTTTGTTATACTGGTCGGTGTTTCATTTTCTATTAATATATTTAGAATGTCTCCCAGGCGAACTCTGTCAAATGCCTTCGTCAAATCAATGAAGCAAATATACGCTGGCACGCCGAACTCTATAGCTTTTTCTTTTATTTGTTTTATTATAAATACTGCGTCTGTTATAGACCGCCCTTTTGTAAAACCTTGTTGTTCTTCAGCATTAGTGATTTGCTTTTCCAATTTGTCCTTGAGAATACCCGTGAAAAGTTTCATTGTTGTATTTAAGAGAGTTATTCCTCTATAGTTTTGTGGGCAGGTTTTTTGTCCTTTTTTTAAATATTATTTGTGATTTGATTGTGATACTATTATGCCATTCCTCTGGTGTTTCTGTTTTGTTTAATATTTTGTTAAATAGTTGTGCCAGTTTACTTGCAAGTTCCGGGCCTTCATATTTTAAAAGTCAATTGGGTATACCATCCGTTCCCGGCGATTTTTTGTTTTTCAGCTTTTTGATCTTTGTCTCTACTTCTTCGTCATTGATTGTAGCACTCACATCTGTTTCGCCTTCGTTTATATTCAGCGTTTCTTCAGCATCATATAGCTCTTTAAAATGCTGTTGCCATGTCTCTATAGGTACTCCTTTGGTCTGCACGAACTCGTTAACTGGTTTTTTCCTGTAGCGGAGCATTTTCCATACTTTCTTTTGGGCACCATATAGGTCGTAGTCCATGTCGCAAGTGAATTTGCCCCAATGTTCTCTTTTGATTGATTTTATTCTGGCGTTTACTTCGTTTCTTATTTGGACATATTCTGCATGAGCTTCTTCCGATTGCTTGCTTTTATATCTCAGGTAGCATTTGCGTTTTAATTCAGAGAGTTCTTTTACCTCTTGGCAAAACCACGGTTTGGTGTGGTTTGTCGCTCTCGTGTTAATTTTCCGCTTTCTAATCGCTTCTTCTGCTACTTCGTTGATGCATTTCTTAATTTTTTGCCAAGTATCTTCTACTGCCCATTCGAGTTTTAAGTCGATCTCTTTTAGTTTGCTGGTAATCCTTTTCTCATAAAGCAGTTTTGTACTCTCTGTTGCTAGCGACTCTATATTATGTTTTTCGATGAACAAGATCGAGATCAATATATGAATACTACAATAATGCTAGTCGCAGAAGTTTTCTCGGAACATGACAATCTAAGAAGAATATGTACTATATTACATGTCTAATCTTCTTCTTCTTCTTAGTCGTTAACCTGATGCAGGTATCGTGATATCATGAAGCTGTTAGGTAATTTTTCCAATGTTCCTCCACGTTTTTCTATCTTCTGCCAATCTAGCACATTCTGACAATGGAGCGCCAATGGTAGCAACAACAGGTCTAATATAATCACATTATCTACGGGTGATAAGGTTTTTAACCATTTTCACAATTTTTTGGTAGAGATCTTTAAAATAAGTAACTCCAAGCCGCAAGCCCTCATCTGTTGCCGTACTGCTCATCCACATGCCATTCCAACACACCAACGTATTTTAGTCTAATCTAAGAATAGTATTAAGATTACATTTTAACTACTATCTGTTCATTCTTAATGATTGTAGGCAGTTAGTGATTAAATAAATCTAGACTTAGGTCTTTAAACCCGACATTTACCTAAAATACCAATATTTTTACTTCAATTCGACAGCTCTTCTGCATTAAATATTGATTGCCTTGCAAATGTGTCAATTAACATAGTTTGCTGATATTTTTAACTCAAATTTTAACATAATTTAACATTTCAATAGATTTGTTACTACATAAATACCTATTCGACATATGTTTTAATAGCTTAGACAAAATGTTGAGTTTAATAACTTACTTGTTTTTCTTCAGTTCTTTTGTGTTCTCTGGTTCACAAGCGGGTAAGATCTCATACTATACAACACATATGAATACATAATATAAGCAGTGCTATATATTTCAGGATCTTAAGTACAAAATACGTTCAGTAAATACTTTAAAACATACTACAGTACTGTATGGTTTTTTCTTTAGAATGATTGTTAAAATTCTTTATCCTTTATCTTGCATCTTTTATAGATTAATTTAATAAAAAGGCCTTTTAAGAGTGAACGTGTACGTATCGCTCTGTATATTAGTGTCGATTTTTGCAATTTACAATTTGCAATTTTAATTATTACTGTAAATACAAGTTTTTATTAGTATTTAATTACAAATAGAAAGATGTCCAAGGTGTTATGTAACAGAGACCTAAAATTGGCATTAAGGATCCACCTACTTTGCTGCTACGTGTTCTCGGTCTTACTTTATGCTGTCGAGTCCTGGACTGTGAATAAAATCGATCTAAATCGCCTTGAGGCTTTCGAAATGTGGTGCTATAGAAGAATTTTAAAAGTTTCCTGGGTGGAGAAGATTCGTAACTCCACATTACTAGAACGTCTCAGCAAGACTACTGAGATCATAAAAAGCATCAAGCAGAGAAAGCTGGAATATTTCGGACACGTAATGAGAGGTCCCAAATATAGATTGCTACAAAATATCATGCAAGGAAAAATAGCAGGCAAACGCTGTCCAGGACGAAGAAGAACCTCATGGTTGAAGAACTTGCGAGATTGGTGTGGTGTAGATACAAGCATGCTATTTAGGGTGGCAGTGGATAAAATTAAAATAGCTATGATGGTAACCAACGCTCTGAGAGAATATGGTACATGAAAAAGAAGAAGAAGAAGATAAACAAACAGTTGTGTATCGATAGGTGATATTTTCTTCATTCCTGCATACAACGTATTCCAGGCAACAAGCAAGTATTGCAATATTTATAAACAATTGTCTGGTTTTTTTTGTTTTCAACCTACTGATAAGAAAGCAATTAATTCTGCCAAGAGCTCTACGCTTTTGGCAATATAGACAAAACATTTTACAATATGATTTATTGTTGTTTGCGGACATTTTAGAAGAAATAGATACTTTAATCTAAATCACTTCGTTGCTTTTGACTACAAAAGCAACTAACTTATGAATAATAAATCTACTATTAATACCACAGAGATGTGAATGTGAAGATGTGAAGCAATGTGAGAAGAAAATCTAAAACTATTCGACTATGTAAAATCCACTGGGGATATTTTTAGTCCTAAAAATATAATATTTGCATCTCGAATCTCAAACAACCGGATCTGCATATACTAAAGCAAAGTTGAACTTGTTGACCAGCTTATTTCCAACAATCCTATTATTAAAAAAAAAAACGGTTTAGACCTACCTATTAGGAGATTAGTTACTCCAGCAAAACGTATTATAATTTCGAATGTCTGTCCCTCAATTCCCATGATCTCTTTTTTGATCTGATTTCATGTTGAAAATGCTTTAAAAGACCTTAGTTTAAAACTAGTTTCTCCTGTCTCTTTCTTAAAAACTGGAATTCAAGAAGATGAATATAGCCATATCCTTTTATTTCGAAGACAAGTGTACATAATTCCACCTACTGAAAGTTATGAGCTTCAGACCTCCCTAGTTATCGAATTTGATTTCACACCTTACCGTATATTTCTATCTACTGATAGAATGGAATGCTTTATTTGCAAGCAAGCTGGCCATACAGCTGCAAATTGTACAAACTACCAAAACATTAATGTTCTTCAATCTGCCGATGAACAACCATCGGCAACAAAAACCTCATCAACCTTAAAACAAATGCCCCACAAACCCATACAAGGACAAAAAAGGGCACTTTTCTAGCCCACTTAGTACACCTGACCCCCACTCGCTTGACCAATTTGTATCTAATCCTCAAAATGAAAATTCGCCAGTGATGCCACTTTCAGAAAAAAGGAAAAAACACGCAAAAAAAAGTCAAAAATGGATCCCACAGATAAATCCAAATTATCAGATGCACTAAAGCAAATAATCAAAGATCTCTACACCAACAGCCCACAAAGCTTCTCTACTCCATCAGATAATCTCATAGCCTTTCTTAAAAACGCCTTATCAAGTAGTAACCTCACAATAGAAGCCAAGCAAATTACTTCTGATATCAATTTACTTTTATCTGACATGTATGCAATTTACCCACATCTAACCACCAGATCGCTAAAAAATAAGTTCACAAGAATATCAAAAAAGCTCAAACAAGAATTACTTTCAGAATTAGACGACACACACAGCCTAGTGTCACAAACATCTTTCGACACTTCTGACGATGATGACACAACCGAACATTCCCAACAGTCCGAAAAATCCAATCATTAATACTTTTCACACTTATTCAATGGAACTGTGATGGATTCTTTTGCCGCTTAGAAAGAATGCAACAACTAATCAGAGACACCAATCCAAACATAATATGAAACCAATTTCAAACAAAATCAAAATATTGTTCTTAAGGGCTATGCAGGATATCATCACGTAAGAAGAGAATGCCTCAGAGCAAGTGAAGGAACCTTAATTTTTGTCGAAAAAGATGTCTATTCAATACATCTTTCTTTAGTTACAAACCTAGAAGTAATCGCAGTAACCATATGGTGCCCTAAATGAATATTACAATCCTACTAAAGCTGAACTGGTAGACTTAATTTTTCAACTTTCAGCACCATTTCTAATCGTTGGAGACTTTAACGCCCACAATACTGCATGGGGTTCGCAAACCACGTACGGTAGAGGAAAAGTTATAGAGAACGTACTAAACATTACCGACACTTGTTTTCTAAATAATGGTTCTAACACTCATTTCAATATTTCAACAGGAAGTTTTTCAGCAATTGACCTAAGTCTATGCGACTCCAAAATATATCCTTCTCTAATATGAAATGTTCTAGATAATCTATATGATAGTAACCATTTTCCCATCCTCATAGCAAATAATGAAGAAAAATCACCAGGAACAGCAATAAAGTGGAAGATTTCTAATGCCGACCAGGCAAGTTTCAGAACTGAAATAGGGGTGTATTCTGTAATATTTCCGTTAAATTTAAGAGGCCTCTAAAATTTAACTTTTAACGGTCCTCTTAAAGTTTAGGTAATATTGACATTTTATAAAGAAATATTATAGAGGACCGTTCGATCAGATACGGCAACGTCGCACGTTAATGGTGTTAAACTACTTATAAGTTAAAAATTGACCCAAAAATAAAAGTTGAAGGCCAAAAACTTAAGAAAGAAGACGAAACTGACAGTCTGCTTGACTTGTTATTTTATTATTATTGAAAATATATTTCAGTTTATTTGTGTTCGAGTTGATTTTATTTTCGTTTAATAAAATTTTATTATGTCTCGTGTTCCACGAACAACAAAATCTCAAAAAGAGTTTTTGATAACTTTTTTTAAAAGAAAATAAAATTCTAACAGGAATAAAATTAATCCTAAATGAATTGGGAAAAGTCCATGTGTTATGGGAAAGGATTGATCATATTATATCGGATTATCTCTTGATGTAATCTGAATTCAGCTCTACAAAAAGAACAAAAAATTTTAATTTTGTTATAGATGTAACACACGGATTATAAAGTAAACTGAGAGTTACCTTTCATTATTATTTATTATTTCATCAACTAAAAGCTTCACCAAATATATTGTAAAAAGCTTTATCTTTTTTAATTGTTTATCTGCAGTATAATATATAAATAACAGACTAATAATCATATAAACCTAACCAAACAAAAATAATCAAATGATATTTAACGGGCGCTAAAAATAAGAGGACAAGTTTTGACATCCTCCAAAATATTCTGTTTTAGCGGAGTTTTAACGGTTTAGGTTATGATTTTAACGGATGCATAAGTTACAGAATACAAAAATAATTTTAGCGGACGCTAAATTTTAGAGGCCTCTAAAATTTAACGGAATGGTTACAGAATACACCCCATAGACCGTCAAATGGAACAAATTTTCTTCTCTGGAAATATAGATACTGATGTAGATAATTTTAACAAATGTATTATCTCCACTGCTGACATTTACGTAGGAAAAAGTATAATAATTTGTACAAGAAAATTAACACCTCGGTGGAATTAACGTTGTGCATCTGCTGTAAAAGAATATAAAACTGCTCTTTATAAGTACCGCCGAAACAGAAGTAACGAAAATCTCATATGTTTTACAAAACTTAGAGCCAAGGCGAGATATATCTAAAACAAAGTAAGAAGTACTCATGGAAGAAATACGTCTCCACTTTAACTCATAATACTGCCCCTTCTCAAGTCTGAAAGAAAAGTAATCAAATGCGGGGAAAAAATACGCACACAAGAATTCCAGCTCTTTTACATCAAAGTAATTTAGTAACCGACGATCAAGATATTGTTATTGTAATTGCCGATAATTTCTATCAACGATTTCAAAACAAGAATGCGCCTAAAGAAACAAATCCTCCGGTACAGTATTCTTCTCAATCTTTTAAATTTGACTCTACTCTCTTAAACACTCCGTTTACACTACAGCAACTCTTAAATATTCTTCCAACTTGCAAAAATTCAGCTGCAGGTCCCGACAACATCCCCTTCATATTTCTTAAACATCTTTCTATATCTGCCCTTAAAAAACTTCTTATATTGTACAACATAATATGGACCAATCAGAAATTTCCAATTCTATGGAGAGAATCTATCGTTATACCAATCAAGAAACAGGATAAATCACCGAATAATCCAAATTCTTACGGTCGTATTTCACTATGATGCACCCTGTGTAAGCTGCTAGAAAAACTAATAAACAAAAGACTAATAAGGTTTCTAGAAAAACACACTTTAGATTCAGCTCAATCCGGATTCCGTCCATACCGAAGCACGACTGACACTTAGTAATGTTACAAACAGAAATCACAACCGCTTTCCAAAACAAGCAAGATTTAATAGCAATATCATTTGACATCGAAAGAGCCTTCGATACTCTATTATGTTCTACTGTATTG